AAATAAACAAAAAGAGGAAAGTTACAACGATCTTCCTATAAGCAAGATCATTGAACTCTACAGATGACTTCATCGACTTATTTTTTGCATACCAAACGCTCAAGAGATTAACTTTTTTTTCCTTAAAATTCACAAAAATGATTGAAAAAGATAAAGGAATTTCAATGACGAGAAAATATAATTAGATCTTACATTAAACAAACAAAATAGAATCTTTGTTGAAGTATTTAATTATTGATTAAACCCGAATCGAGTCCTCAACGATCAGCTTTATCGTGTTAAATTGAAATAAGTACAGCATTGTGTGGATTAAAATCTACAGCAAAATAGTTCCCTGGTTGTGCTTTCTGGGACGACTGACATACCAGGCAGGAGGAATGAGAATCGTCGTACGCGGCAGGCAGGCTTCAAGAATCGAGGCACCAATTCTGGTAGTTGCACCACATTCAACATTCATCGATGGTGGTATCGTCTACGTAACCGGATTTCCGTCAATCATCGTAAGACGAGAATCAGGATTGAATCCGTTTACCGGAAGTATGTGAACGCTGAATATATTTCAAAATTCTCCAAAAACAAAAACTATAAGAAATCAAGTGATCGACGTTTTTCTAATTAAATGAAAGATCTATTATAATCTATAGATTAATTATTATATTTTCTATCTTCGAACTTTAACTATAATTGTAATCCAAAAATGTTCGTGTCCATGTCCCATTCGCCATATGTTAGAAAAGAAAACGATCTCAAATTCACCTTTATTTAATAATTTAGATCACAATTACGTCAATTACACATTTACGTAAATGCTCATGTAAACTTGTGCATTTTCGTACAACAACATGAAAGTAATCTCATTCGGATAAAAATCGAACAAATCTCGAATGATACACGATCATAATTTCTCGCAAAGAATCATAGCAAATAATTTGAGCTCTTTGATCTAATGTGTTTTTCTTTCGCATACAGAGCTCATTAACTACACGCAACCGGTTTATGTATGGAGAGAAGATCCTAACTCACGACAAAATACGATTAAGGAAATAATCGAACGTGCTACTTCGAAGGAGGATTGGCCACAGGTAAAACGATTATGGTTGAGTCATTAAATATAGATTTGACTGAAATCCATGAAAATATATCAAACCATTTTGTTGTTAGGTAATGATTTTCCCAGAAGGTACCTGCACGAATCGTTCGTGCCTGATAACTTTTAAGTCAGGTGCTTTCTACCCAGGTGTGCCTGTGCAACCAGTGTGTATCAGGTATCCTAATAAATTAGACACAGTCACATGGACATGGGAAGGTCCTGGAGCGTAAGTACAACATTAATGAATTTATCAAAAAAATATTTTTTATCACTGATAAATATAATTTTTTTCATTCTATAAAAAATCAGCTTAATAATTCGAATTGTTACCTTGGTCAATTATTTTTAGTTTAAAATTATTATGGCTCACGCTGACTCAGTTAAATAGTAGTTGCGAAATTGAATTCCTTCCTGTCTATAAACCAAGTGAAGCGGAAAAAACAGATCCCAAACTTTACGCGAATAACGTCCGTCGTATTATGGCAGAGTAAGTAACATCTGTGATGGAAATAATCATTGTTAAATCAAAACATGTATGTTAAAAATTCGTTCTTTGGCGATATTGGTTTGGAACAATCTTTCTTTGGGTTTCAGAGCACTCAAAATACCTGTCTCTGATTATACTTATGATGATTGTCGAATCATCAGCAAAGCTCATCAGTTACATATACCACATGCTTCAACTATAATAGAAGCTCACAAACTTCGAAATAAACTTGGGTTTGTTTTTTAATATTAATCGTGTAGTCTCATAAAACTTCTAAAAAAATAAATCTTTAATTGAAAAAAATTTTTATAAATTAAATATTGTTTGTTCGTAGTTTAACAGCATCGAAAATGGAAGAAGAGCTTCTAGAAAAAAAAGTAGAAAAATTCGGCGAAGAGGTAAATTTGCAAGAATTTGCACGAATTCTTAGACTGGATGAAAAGGAATCGACTACTCAACAGCTCTTTCGAATTCACGACAGAGTATGTTCATTGTAAAATATTAACTGATCCTATTGCCTTAGTTTTATTTTTTTCGCAATAACGCAAATTCACTACATGTATTTTCATTTTCAGAATGGCAAGGGTACAATAGATCTTGAAGAGTATATATTCACGATATTGGCAACGACAAATGCTAATTGTGAATTGGATATGGTTGAAATCTCATTAGATGTAAGCATATATTATATAAATGTAAATGTATTTATATACACATGTATATATAATAACAGTTCTAAAAGGAAAAAAGAAAATAATGATTTTTCATAATTCTATAAGTAGCAGTCTAAGAAAAATATCAAAATACTTATTTCTTTAAGAAACACTAAATTATAACACATAAAAATGTTTATTCATGTTTCATCTAGGTTTGCGGTTCTAAAACATTAAAGTGTGTTAATCTAACAGAACTTAGAAAAGCTTTAAGGTTGTCATTACATGTACAACCAGAGGATGTTGATAAAATCTTTCAACAAGCTTGCAACAAACCCGGTGACAACGTTGTGACTTATGGTAAATTATAATTTATTTAATTTGGTAACAGTAGAAATTCGTCAGCTTTACCATAGATACTTAACTGTGTTGATATTAATTTAGTTATATTGTAATAATAATGTAATTATATATAATTATATATAATTATATAATCATTATTTTGTACAGAGGCCGCACTTGGAGTACTGGCTACACGAGCAGAATTTTCACATCTGTTCACTGGAAATTCTGAAACAAAAAAAAAGAAGACCATTTGAGAGTGTCTCTTGACTGCAACTCGTATTCCTCGAAGATTTAGGGAGCAACGTGACTCCAATAGGCCGCTTCTCAGCCAAATTTGTTCTAGCCCTGTATAATTAGATAATTTCTCATACGATCATTAAGATTATTTATTCTCTGCATATATGCTTAGCAGATTTTTTAAATAACATCTATATCTTCGATAAAATAGTTAAGTATTCGAGAAATTCTATGATGATTGATAGACTGAGCCTGCATAGTAAGCATGCTAGTACTACTAATTTAATCGGATTAATTATGATTATTGTTTTGACAAATGTGCGGAAACTTTTTTTGAAGTCATATGAAATGAAAATATACATATAATAATGTTCGAATTTGAACAATATTAAAGCAGTTCAATATTAATTTATTAACAGTTTAAATAATCGTTTCATTTTAGTCAAAATGCCGTTATAATATATAAAATCAGACAGCGGCTACTCACTAAGAAAATAACTTGAGTCTTTTAACACATAATGATATAATTTAATAATTACTGTATGTAGCCTCTGTACTATCTCAAAGTATTCTTTCGTTCGTCTGACAATTATTTCAATAATTGAAAGTAGGTATTATTTAGAATAGGCCTTATTGTATTAGTTATAGGTATTACGATGAATTCTTCGTCTTTATGAGGTTTCACACTCGGAATCAAAATTGAGTATGCGTTACAGATGAAAACTTTCGTTAAATAGAGGCATGCAGAATCCTTGCTGTGAAACTGGAAGATAACGTCGGACGTATCGTCCATAGGAAACATTATTTAATCTTATAATCGCTTTAGAATGCTCAGGGTTTGTAAAATGCTAAAATTATTGAATGAATGTTCAATTATATTATGTTTACAACAATTAAATCACAAAGTTCCACTTGGTCACTTGATCGAGTTTCTAGTAAATTGAAATACACTAATTATGAGTAACTAGAAATTAGAATTTGAGTATGCATTTATAGAATAAATATGTTATAAAATTTATTCTTTGCTCGATAACAATACATGCTACAATATTTAATATTTAATATACACATATATAATAACGATACATTGGTCGTGAGATACAATAAAATGTTACTCATTGTATATACGCATATATATACGGAGACACGAGTGTGTGTGCACGTGCGCGATGTGTGTAATGTATATATACAAAATATATACTTGTAAATATAGATACAATAAAATATTCTTACAAGGTATGAATTATCTTGATAAGTAATCTAGAATATTATATTTTGTCTCTGCCTATAGATTGGCAAAAATGATTTATTTACATTATGAACTTATTTTAAGTACGAAACAAGACTGAATATATATATATATATATATATATATATATATATATATATATATATAAAGAATATAATAGATTTATATATATGTTATTAAGAGACTCTTAGAGTTATTGATATAACTTGATTATCACAACTAATTTCTTAAAAGATCACCAATATTTCTGTTAGTACTAATATATATAATTTTAAATATTATTTAAATAAATATTAACTATAATAACATTGAAAACTTAATACTGAGATTACGTATTATCATGTATCAGAAACAATAGTGATTATTAATGATAAATCTTAATTATTGACTTCTTGAACAGTATACGTAGTGATAATCACAACTGTTTTATGCAATGGACACACTGTATTAATACTGTTATCTCTTAATCCTTAATCAATATGTACAGGCTCAACATATCCTTTTCCACAACCATAGAAAAAGAAAGACGTAAAAATTATATCCAAACATAACCATTACATATTGGAAAAAAAAATCTGAATTTGTTATAATTATAAAAGCAAACAAAAAAATATCAATTACATCACACGAAGTATTATTATTTAAAAATCTGCATAGGAAAATCTATTTTTCATATATTATTTTCTATTTGTTCTCATGTTAAAAGGCATACTACAATTTAAATAATATTTATGAAAACATTACAATAAACGCGTAAGCTCTTATTAAAAGTAATATTTTATTTTATAATTTCTTTAAATTTTTAATTTTATCAACTTGTATGAGCACAAAATTATGAATGTATTTATACGTACTATTTATTCTATAACATTGACTAAAAATAAAAAGAAAATCCCGGATAAAATCAACAAAAAATTTAATGAGATTCATGGAGAAAAAGAAAAACGAAATTATATACATAAAGCGAAGAATATAAAAATATTATAAATAATATAACTACTTTTTCTTGAAAATACTCGTCACTGTTGAAGAACTAGGTCTCTGTTGAAAAATCTTGCTCATTCTTTGTCGCATGTCCTCTACACCTTGCCCTACATTAACTGTCGCCATTGATAAGGAAAGTCCAGAACTCATTGAGCTTGATCTAAAATCGTAGAAGAATGACAGAAATAATTCTATTAATATACAAAAATATAATGCAAATATAATTTCATTACCTTTCGATGGGTTTAACAATATCTTGATGAGATTCTGCTTCTCTTAATAAAGATTTAACAGTTTCTTTTTGTTGTGGCAAACTTTGATTAACCAAGGTTTCTAAATGCCTTAAACCAGGTAATACAACTCCAGAAATGCATTGATTACTCAGTGGACAATAAACTAAAACTGAGTAGGCTTCGACCAAAGCATTGCAAAGATCTACTTTACGATTTCGTCGAATCGCTGTTGTTGTTATTCCAGTTAATTGTGTTGCAATTACTGTAAATAAAAATAAAAATTAATTAGCAGTAATATTGTTAGCAACTTGTTTCAATATAATTAAATTAATATAAAATTTTATTATCACAAATAGAATGATTAAAGAAATTTGCATTAAGCACGCTTAAATTGTAGCTTTAAAAATCTTACCATCCTCTATATAGCTTTGCGGACAACTCGGAGCAATATAAGCTAAAGTTGAAACAAGAGGAGTAGCTAATACAGACAAAACATTTTGTGATTCTCTAGCAATAGTTTCTAAAGTTAACCGTGCCTTATCACGTGCTTCTCTTAATTTACATTCTGTAATAAGACGACCTAAGGGAGGTATAACTGATGCTTTTACAGCTCTGAAAAAAAAATTTTAATGAAGCTTCATCTATCTTTTATAAATAAAAATGTCACTTACATATCTTGATCACTGGCCAAGGTTACAATAGCTGGAACTATTCTTCCACTTATCAATCGATCTGAAGTGTGAGCTATGACAGAACCAAATAATGTTGCAACTGCACATCTTACACTAGATCTCTGATGCACCACACCTGTAATATATAGTCATAATAAATAGTTTAAAAACCAACATTACAGTCAATAGTAATAAGATAATCAAAATTACCATCCCATAAGCCTGTTAGTACATGTTCTTGCATTTCTTCTTTAGCACATAATTTTACAATCGCAATTTGAAGACTTGTAATACTGATCCCACTCATAGACAAAACAACTAAAAATTGTTTGATAGATTTTGAAACTTCGATACCATTTAAAGTGCTTAGTATAATTAAGTAAGCCGGAATTAATGTTAAACTGAGATTTTTATTATCCATTGATAATGTTGATAATTGTTTTTCTAACTCTGTTATTTCCGATAAAAATATTGGTTGAATCTGTAACGTAAGAAAAATTCTATAAATAAAATTGATAATACTGCTGTAATATTCAAGTGCTATCATATAGCATTATATACTGTAGGAATTACCCTTGTCTGAGTAATATATTTTCCAAAACCAATGCACAACGATTGTATATATGTGAGTAGTGAATTTATAACACTTTCTTGTACTATTTCCGTAGATTTTACTATTTCAAGAATATCTATAATTCTGAAAGAAGGTGCATTATAATTTTTTATAAAATGGTATACTCTAAATTACTAGAAAAGTATAAAATTTATAATACTTACAATTTATTAGTAAACCATTCTAATTCTGGCCATAAATCATTCTCCCAGGTATATAAAAAAAATGTATTTAAAAGTGAACCTACGTAATGCCTTTCGTTATCATAAAATAATTTTGGATTAATTATATTACACTTGCATATACTCAAAAACTCAGCAGCTAAAATAACAAATTTATTATTATTAACATAAAATATTTTATTATAATGTTTTTAAATCTGTATTTTTTTTATAATTTACTTACGTAATTCTATCGAAATTGAAGGTTCTATAAAACTTTTAACTATATCAGTATCAGCAACGCACACAATGGTATGAGGAAGTAAATATTGTAATGCACCAATCAACGATTCTATTCTCTCTTCGTCTATATTATCTTTAACAGGCGAATTTTGAGAATTTATAGGTTTTATACGATTTTTTACTTTTAAAATTAAACGTGGTAAAAGATGCGACCTAAATCTTTTTAAAGACAATGCCCACTGTGCTAGGACTGGTAAAAATATAGAAGTTGTCGTATTGACTACTATAGAAGAAGAATCATTCAAGGCTGTAAAAGCAAGTTCTTCACACTACAAACATATAACAGGATATTAATAGGTATATATCGCATCTAAAAACGATATAAAATATTACCTGAAAATATTTATCTGGTATATCCATGAGTGTTACAAGTAGAGCTAAACATTTTACTACACTAGCTCTAACTGAAGGATCTTTATCATCTAAAAGCATTTGTTGTAGCATAGAAAACGTTAGGGAATTTCTGACAGAAACTATCGTAAATGTAGCTAATGCAGAACAACACTCAACAGCTAATAATCTTCTTTCTGGATACTTGTGTTGGATTTGTTCCCAACACAAAGTTAAAACTTCTTCTCCTCCGATAGGTTCATTTTCAAGATTGGCCATTGCCACTAAACCTATGAAATAAGTATACGTATATAAATACTTATATAAGTATATAAATCTTATTCTAACTAGATTATTTGATATAAAAATAAATGCAAACCAGCTATGATCATTTGTCGTTCCTCTTCTTGCGGCCTTTTTTTTAAATTAAAGAGAAGTTTTAATAATTTTTCTCTCTCCCCCGAGTCGGAATGTAAACCAACTGTGCCTATTATTAAAGGTATAACTTCTTCTCGTTTGTTTAATATAATATTAGGTATTATTCGAGGTAATGTTTGTGCCAAAATTTTAACAAATGTATCGAGAGAAACTTCACCTTTAAATGGTTCTTCTGCTACTGCTATCATATCACTTACAGTATCCACCAAACAAAGATTAAGAACTTCTAATTTAAATGATAATGCCATAAGTCTGAAATATATATAAATATACACATATATGAAAATATTATTTTAAACATATCTTAAAATTAATTGTACATTAATTTATAAATCTATATACCTGGACGGTGCATTTGATAAAATAGTTGAACCTTCTGTAACATCAGCTCTAGGTAACTGTATCCTTGTCCATTCTTTATCTCCTGGATCAGTTTCACCTAAACTTACTACTACAGAAACAGTATCATCTTCTTCTGGATCTTGAGTTGCATTTGAAACATCGCGCGGAGGAGACTCAAGAATTTCAAATTTATCTGGCGTTGTAGAATTCGAATTTATAGATTGAATTGTATCATTACTGTGTTGCTAAATGAAAATTATGTATAGGTTTATAAAAATTCAATTTTTAAAAAACAACACTAATAAATAATAACATTTCATTTTACCTTATTATCTTGTATCAAATTTTCATTGGTAGTATCGATATAATGCTGAAGATCCATCTTCTCTTTTTCTAATGATACAGTTTGTTGTTTTAATTGCTCTATTTGCTCTTCCTGTAATAAAATAGTAATTAAAAAATTGAAAAATTATTGGGTTGTCCGGAAAGTTTGTGCCGATTTTGGTCGAAATAAAAAATTACATAGAAAAGTTTTCGGTGAAAAAAACCTGAGAAGTTTTGGAAGGACGGAATTTTCAAGTTACCTAAAAGATGAAGAAAAGAATGTGGAACAGAATTGTACTTATATAATTTAATAAATATATACCAAAATTTAATTTTCGTTACGTTTCAATCTCTTGTCAAAATCGACATGAACTTCTCGGACAACCTAATATAAGCTGCACATAAAAAACACAAACCATTTCTTTCAACTCGTTCTCTTTTCTTTCTACTTCATTATCTCCGAATTCAGTTTGAACAGAAACATTTACAGAAGGTGGCTTGTCATGACCGTTAGCTCTCATGTATTCCCTATAAAGTTGTAATAATCCAGAAGGTTTTGAAATGTTCAAACCAACATCCTGCCAATCTTCGAGGTCTTGATCTTCATTTTCATCACTAAATGTTACTGATGTCAATTTATAAAAATGTGTAAGCAAATATTCATGAACAAGAAAATTTAAAGCTCTTTGTTCATGAGGCTTTATAGGATTATCATTATTAACTTTCTTTTCCGAACGTTTATCGGGTGTTACGCCATCAAATTCTGAAATATTATTCAAGTAAAAAAAATTATTTATATCATAAAAATGTAAAGAAACGTTAAAAAATATAAAAGAAAAAGAATAAAGAGAACAAACCCGTAACAACAGTGAGATTTGCACGAAGGGCAGAAATACTTTCTCTTGCATTTCTAAGTTCAAATTCCAAAATCGCAACTCTTTCATCAACTCCAGTACCATCTTCAGAGTACCTTGTCATATTATCAAGGGAATCCAAAGTTGCTTGACTAGATGATCTAGCTAGTATTTTGACAAACACATATATGTGCTATTATATGTATGCATACATATATAAAATAAAAATTTTTGTTATAATTTTTTATATTATATATAATAATATAATATTAAACTCAAATTTATTATTAGAAATGTATTTTTAATTAGTAAAAAATATTTATGAAGAATGGGCATCGTAATTAACCTGAAAACTATACTTACGCATAGGTGTATCAGGCTCTGGTTTGATATTTTGATTTTCGAAATTATTTGGATTAGAAAAATATTCTTTAAGAATTAGCAATTCTCTTCCAGCTTCACATAATTCCGCATGTAATTCCAAAGCTGTTAGTAAAAATTTTTCATTTATAAGTTTTGTAGCAATTTCTTCGTAAGATACCGTCGACCTTACAGCAGAAAATCCTAAAAGTGAATTTTTATTATTGTTTAACATGATTTTAACAAATAATAAATAATAAAAAGTGATGAAAAAAATAATATTTAACAGCATGTATAGATGACGTATACAAATGTGAAGTTTTATGTATACGGAGAGAAATACATACATACTTATTAAAAAAACTATTATAAATTAATTATATAGCATATCTGGAACGTCGCAACTAAAATCTGTTGTCAAAATATCGCATTAAAATCGTTAAAAAGTAATTTAATAAAATGATTAAAATTACCTTTGTTTGTAGACAAAGGATTTCTAACCTCTTCTATAGAACCAGCCATTGCTTCAATATTTAATTTACACTTTAAAGTAAAGTGGCATGTTTTTTATTACTTGTCGATAGCATCTATATACTATTATGTTTTTCTTATTAATACTAGGCCGAGTACATAGAATTATTTTATTCGTAATACATAAAGTTACTTCACATCTGTGACAATTACGTAATGTCACTCATATATTTTCACATATTATAGCCTAATGAAACTGTGATATTTAGGTGTAAAGATATTTGTAAGAGATAAGAAAATAAAACCAGTATTTAGGAGATCGAATTCTATTTCTTAACAAATAACAGAAAATATATATGCGTAATTTCGATAGTGACTCGGAAGAAAACGAAGCAAATCCGTTTCCTGTTTAGTTCTTTTCGGTGAGTGCTGTTGTCTTGCTCTCTAGAATTTGTCCCTAGAAGGTCTCTACATAATATATATAGACGTACTTCTACATGCTTACAATTAGATTTCAGGTAACCTTCCTATAACACGGTAGATAGGTTTGTAGAAAATGCCGTGTTGTGTGAAACCGTGTTGTGTGAAACCGTGTTGTGTGAAACCGTGTTGTGTGAAACCGTGTTGTATGAGACCCACAGCTGTGAGCCAAAAACTTTTGTTTTCAGGCCATGGAGATAAAAAGAAATACTTTCCGCAACATTGTATCTTTAAGACGGCAAGCCTGTAGAGGGTAGAGGTAAAGAGAATCATCTTTAATATGAAAAAGTGTCCGTCGAAATGCATTAAATTAGGGTGGCGCCACATTAGCATCAGGGTAAATTTTAAAGGAAGCGCCAAATATTATTAGAGTAGAATTGAAAAATAAACAAGGAAAGAAAATTATAAAAATTAGCAATGGTTTATAAAGTAAATTTTTCATAAAAAATTGATTTACATAATGTTGGTTGGAAATACGAAAGAGGCTGAGGCGAATCATTTTTTCTGTTTTTGGATTTACGCCCACTTGGACAACTTTTCACAACACAAATTTTATCCATAACTGTTTTGTTATTCACATACTTTTTTATAAAATTAAATAATAAAAAATCAATAAACGTACTATTCACTATTCACACTACTAAAATCACTCTAGCTACACGTTTTCTCATAATAATTCTTTAAGGTTATATTCACTACATTATTTAGTACTACGCAAGTAGTTGAAATTTTCAATAATTAACTACTTTAGTCGCCAATAATATTAAATTTTTTAACTCGGCATACTTCAATTCGTTTACAATTGCTACATTCATACCATACCCTTTGTCTACACCAGCGCCATTCTGGAAGGTTTTTGAACTTTTATTTATAGCTACAGCTGGACACTTTTTCAAATTTTCTCCCATATGAGATGATTCTCCTTACCTTTACTCTCCAAGTACAGTGTTGTACAAAGGTTTTTTGAAAAGAAACCGTGTTATAAGATGCCGTGTTGTAGCGGGGCTACCTGTATTACAAAAATATACGTTTTTATTTAAATAAATCAATTACATCAAATAGTTTATAGTACATGATATACTACAAGGATATGCAATATAAAAAATTATTCCCACTTATAAACTTAATTTATATATATATATATATATATATGCTATTTTAATTTTTTTTTTATCTCAACAACTATCCTCGCTTAGCATCAAGATCAGAAAGATATTTTATGTTAATATTATAGCGATATGTTATTGATATTTAATGTTAACATTATAGCGATATCTTTTAAAGCTGATTGTCAACTAAAAGATAACATTTAGATGACTTTTTTCTAAAGTCAGATTATTGAGATCCAAACACTATCCTTAGATAACTATCACGGAGCCTAGATACTAGGAGGGCGATTGATATAGGAAAATATCTAGTAAACGTGACTGGAAAAAAAGGAAAAGATCATTTTCGGAAATACGCCGCTAGGTTTCGTTATGTTCGCTAATGTCAGGTTTATAACGTCATATTTTTCATTGACAATTGTTGACAATACTGCATCATTAGCAATTATATTAATATTTTTTTAATTTATAAAAAGAAATATTTATTTAAAAATGGTAAATAAATGTATTGTTCATGGGTGTACAAGTAGACGAGTCAAGGATCGTAATAAGAATACTTAATTAAATCAGAGAAATACGTCTTTATTCACTGTACCTTAGGTAATATAACCTTAATTGATAGTTATTAATTATTAATATAAAAAAATGCAATGATGCAAATGTTTTTTAACTCTAGTTATGCTATAGAAATTTCTAGTCTTGTAAAAAGTGCAATTTACGATAATAAATTACAATTTACTTTTAATTGGACTTTTTTAATTTAGTTTTTTATCCTTTATTCAACTGCGACTAGGTTAGATGAAATTGAATAGATTTACACAACAAGTTGACGATAATATCTTAGGAATAATTGTAAAATAATAAAAAATTTTTTCTTATTGCTATTTTTAACGTTAATTATAAGATTTGGTTAATTTATTTTGACTAACGCGTGAGTACAATTGCTACATTTCCGTGACAATAAACAAGGTTTTAAAAACCTAACATTAGCCACACTAACGCGCTCTAATGGCAAAAGATCTGTCCCCTCATTTTCGAACATTTGTAATCCATTGCGATCGCCCTCCTGTTATCTAGGCTCCGTGATAACTATGATAGATGTTCTGTGGTATTTATGTTGCTAGGCAACGCTTTGCATTTGACTAAATTCCCGCGAAATTTACGAAAAAACGTCCGCTTATTGTTATTTGAAGTTTAAACTTATTTATTTTCATTTGACAGTGAAAATATTTCGAAATTTTAAATAATATATTCATTAATGCATTAGTTGCCACGATCCCCATTAGGGGATTTTTCAATTTTACGTACACCACTCGGCGACAAAAATATATTTTGTACGCCTGATTGTTTTGTTATATATTGTATATTGCAATATTAACACAGCCATGCAATTATAGGAATTTCGACAAAATATCGTCCTAGCATATTTGCAGCGAGAATCTCCTTCTAATCCTAAAAATCATGGTAGACCTTCTCTACAAAAGCTAGCGTCAAAACGTTTCCCGAAAGTGTACGGACGGACTAAATAATGTATGTAATTAATGTGTTAAATGTGTGTAAAACAAATGTAAGAAAACAATGTGGCAAATGTAACGTCGGGTTACATGTGGACTGTATAAAAGAATGGCATAAATAACAGCTGTTCTTGTATGTATGAGAGAACGCATATAATAAAAGAATGAGTTTCCTATTAGTTGTTTATTTCATGCAACCAGCCACAATCCCCATTTGGGATTTTTTCAAAAATATAAAATATTTTCAAAACAAAACATAATTCGAATAAAATTATACTGTTACATTAATTTTTGTGCATATATATAACTTATCCGACCAAAAATTAAAAAAAAAAATTTGACAGTTGGCAATGGGTTAAGTAAGTGTAACAATTTTGTTATTATTTTAATTGTTTTATATAATTGTAAAATGAAATCTCGAAATGTTTGGTTAAAATACTTTTCAATTTGTATTTAATATATTATTTTATATATTTTGTAAAAAGTAGTTAACTTTTTTATATTTTATTTAATTTTTTTGGAAGGTGAAAACATAACTCACTAAATGTTTTATGTCGTACGGTGGGACGATACATTGGCTGCTGTCCACGAGACGTGGATTAATTATTCGTCTCGTACTTTTCGATGGTATAGATCGAAAAATCCTATAGCGTAGGTATTCAAAGCTGAAAAAGCCTCACGATAATTGGTATACTTTCAATTATACCAGAGTTTTTGGGACCCGTGGTAAGACGCAAAAATATTTAATGTATTAAAAAGAATGATTTCATTGATCTGTATCAATTCAATTTTGTAGAAAAATATGATGAGGCTTGAAGCTTTGACACTTAGACACTTTCGACACACGTATTTCAATGAACAATAAAGAATGATTTGCTTCTTTTATGGATCCAAAAAACCTAAAAAATGGAAATTTAAAAACGAACTTGTCATAGATCGAAAAAATATTGAACTACTTCATGAGATAATCAATTGAAAAGAAAAAGTAAGCTTTTATCATTTTGTCATGAAATTTTTTCTGATTTTTTTTTTACAGCATTTCAAAAAAAAGAAAATGTGATTCTTCTTCAAGTTCATCATCTGAAAACAACGGTATGATGAAATTGTTAAATAAATGAAATTGTTAAATAACTAAAAATAATCCTCATGTATTTTTAATTTCATTACTTCAAAAGAAGATGTCAATGCCGCCGAAAAATTATGTTACATAAGAAAAGAGTAAATCATCAAATTTGCTTAAAAGTATGGATCCATATTTTGGGATGACTTTGAAAAGAAACTTAAAAATTCATTAGCGGTTACTCAATACTGAAGTTTTTTTTATCATTTAAATTATTTCAATTATATGCGCATTTTGGTATCTTTATGTACTACAATTTTTAGATGTTGTTTCTTAATTTTTTCTTCTTTTTTCTTCTTTCCTCTTCTTTCTATCCTAAAGAAACGTATAAATAAATAAGTTGAAGGTGAATCATTTGACAAACATATGCGTAGAGCATTTAGCTTAACTTTTTCTGGCATTTTAGTGTAGAGAATGTCGTGGACTGGGGCGAAAAATACTATAATGGTAAAAAATAAAAACTATGTCAATATAGTAATAGGTAAATTACTAAATCTTTAAACTTTATAGCTTGCTTATGTATTTATAAAGTATATGAAACTTTTTTTTTATAGAAGTTACGCTGCAACGATAGAATGGGATTGATAAAGCTTATATTGAAGCAGTTATAAAATCGTGGTTCCAACATACTGATGACAGCATCTAATCAAAGTCAAAAAATTAAAATTTATTTATGCATTTTATAAGTTAATAGAACTTTTTTATTTTCATTATATTTTTATATTATATTTATTTTATTTTATTTATTTATATATTATATATATATTTTCATTATATTTTTATATTAATTTATAATAATTATTATTTCAATGTAAGTTACTGTATTATGGGCTCTGGACTCGTTCGACGGGTACAAGAGCCCCGGGATTGACGGGCTCTTCCCCGCCCTTCTTCAGAATGGAGGGGATGGGCTAGTCAAGCATCTTATCCGTATCTTTAGAGCGTGTCTCGCCTTGAGATATGTATCTAAGCCATGGCGGGAGGTCAAAATAGTCTTTATCCCAAAAACGGGAAAAGACAGATATGACCAAGCTAAGGCTTTTAGGCCCATCAGCTTGACGTCTTTCCTGCTGAAAACGTTGGAGAGACTCGTTGACAGGTTTATAAGAGATGGAGCGCTGGCGAGGATACCGGTGCAGCCATCGCAACATGCTTACCAAGCGGGCAAGTCTGTCGAGACGGCTCTTCATGGCCTCGTTCGCGAGATCGAAGGTGCCCTCGACAGGAAAGAAGTCACTTTATGTGTGTTTCTAAACGTCGAAGGGGCGTTCGATAACACCTCTTTTGACGCTGTATGCGGAGCAGCGAGGGACTTCCACATCGACGACACTATCGTCCAGTGGTTGGACTTCATGCTCCGCTCACGTATCATCACTGCTAGCCTCAGCGGGACAGACATCAGGGCGCACGTCGGCAGAGGGTGCCCTCAGGGTGAAGTTACCTCCCCACTGATGTGGCTCATGGTTGTCGACGAGCTCCTGAATAGGCTCGGGGAGCTGGCGGTTTAAACGGTTGGGTTTGCAGATGACGTCTGCATAGCGGTCACCGGAAATCACCCAAGATTGCCCAAGATGCAAAGAGCGCTCGGCATCGTTCAGGATTGGTGCACGTCGATGTCTTTGAGGGTGAACCCGAATAAGACTGAGATGGTGCTCTTTACGAGGAAGAGGCATTTCAACATAAGGTCTCCCTCAATATTTGGAACTGAGCTGACGTTCTCCCGGGAAGTTCGCTACCTAAGGGTGACGCTTGATAGCAAGCTCAGTTGGAAAAGCCACATCGACAACCAGGCCAGGAAGGCTATTAATACATTCTGGGCCTGGTTGGGACCCTGCTCAACATCTTACCTCCGCACATTGCAGCGGAGGAGAGAGCCAGAAGCGCAGCCTTCAGGCTACTGGTCAGTGCGAGCTGGAGGCAGGCACGCATCGATCCTGTCAAGAACGGGAGACTTCGAGGAAGTCAACCGCCTTGGGGGTGACTGGTGCCCAAAGGAGTACCATTTCCAGCACAACTATGAGGTCCTCTTTCCAGACAGACAGTCATGGGCAGCGGACACAAATCATTTATTGGCACCCGTGGGGCCCGTCTGGTGTATAGATGGGGCTAAAGCGGGTTCCAACGCGGGAGCAGGGGTCTGGTCTGGAGGGCCTAGGACTGAGCTGTCCTACACCCTAACCGGTACCGCCTCTGTTTTCCAGACGAAGCTGTTTGCCATTCGGGCCTGTGCCCACAGTATCCTGGAAAGGGGGTACTATGGCAAACATATCTACATCTGTAGTGACAGCCACACTGCGCTCAGACTTGTACACAGCACCGTGGTCAAGTCAGGGCTGGTGAAGAACTGTGTCGACTTGTTGACACGGCTAAGCAGTGTCAACAGAGTAAAGTTGCTCTGGGTGCCGGGTCACAGTGGCGTTCAGGGTAACGAAAAGGCGCACGACCTTGCCAGACTTGAAGCTTCACGGCACGATCCGGCAAACCGGTGCCACATCAGCGTGTCAGGGGGGCTTATGCGGAGGAGGACTAAGAAGTGGGCCACGGACCGCTTCAGGGATCTCTGGGTGCAAGGCCCTGGCATGAGGCACACGAAGGCTCTGTTCTCAGGGCCCTCGGAGAAGCTAGGTACCGAGTTGATCAACCTAAACCGAGCCCAATTGAGGCTGGTTGTAGGATTGGTCACCGGGCACTGGCATTTTGGAAAGCACCTTACGCGACTGGGTCTTGCATAAGACTCGGTCTGCGGCAGGTGCGGCGAAGGGAGGATACCCCCTCTATCTCATAACTCAGTGCGTTGGGCTCACGGACGTCAGAAATGATGTCCTTGGGACCACCGCCAACAACTTCGACCTAGTGGGCTCAGGGGCGGCCAGATTGCTGCGCTTTGCAAGGGAGTCGGGGCTGCCCGCGGGACCGCTACGGTCATAGGTTTTTCCCCGCAAGGGGCCCGGGCACAATGGTCCAGAGACTTAGCGTCCGGGTAAACAAACCTCAAGGAAAAAAAAAACGTTACTGTATTAATGTATTAACTATAAACACACAAAATAAAATTATTAAAATATTAAATATTTTACTTTATTCAATAAAAAAAAAAATTATTGAATAACATCCAAATTCCATCTTATTAATGGTAACAATTGGATCTCTGTGTAAAGAAATCTTTAAGATGACTCACAAAAGTTAACTTTATGTTATCTTTCTGTCCAGCTTTTACGGATGTCGGATGAAAAGAATGTTATCTTTCAGAGCTGTTTAAGATAACTTTTGCTGAGCGGGTCTTTACTAACGTTAATATATATTTTTGATATTATTTATTTTTTATTTTATTTTAATATTTTTTTCGAAATAAATAAAAAGATTGTTTTATATTATAAAGTTGTATCATACAATATATATATATATATATATATATGTAAAGAAAATATATTCTCTTTAATTTAAATTTAATAACATAAACATAAACATGAACATAATAATAATTAGAAGGTTTGAAAAGAGACTAGGAACTAGAAACTAGTGTAAGTCCACTTTCTCTTGTTTCGAGAAAATTAAAGGTTTTCATATCAATGATTACTCAATTTCTTTTACCGATCAATTTTAAATTGTACAAAACATGGGCACTTTTTAAGCAATTAAATATTAACCAGTTATCCATAAAAAGTTTACATTAAATAAAGCATAAATTACGTGATATCTCATTTTGTTAAAAATTGACTTACACCACTTTTAAAATAAACGGTCCATATATACAGTAAGACCCCGCTTAACGCTGCTCCGCTTAACGGTGTTTCAGTATTACGCGGTAGTATTGGGGTTCCCCTAAATCGCACACTGTATTGATACTTGTTATATATGTGTGCAAATGAAACGGCCATGCACCAACCAAAAGCAGTGCACTATATAGCGACGGTGTGTACTATGTATCTTTTTCAACGCTCTTTTGTTAGTCTGTCCAGAATAAAGGTTCCAACTGTATTCCCCGAAGTCGCAGTCACAGTACGAACGCATCTTTCCTGCGTCACAGTTGATTTATTAGCTGTCATCAACGATACTAGGTGTATAAAGATATAAACATAATATTTTATTTTATTGTGATAAATTCGGCAATTTTTAGTTCTTACGATGGGTGATAACAAAAAAAAGGAAAGTAAAGCGACAAGAAAAACGGCAATCTTATATCGGCATTGAATTAAATTTGTCGACTTCAACAATACGGACAATTTTAAAAAATAAAGAAAAAATCTTGTCATCAGCAACTACAACCACAACGACTTCTGCAACAAAAATTACCCGTTCTAGAAACAATGTGATTGAAGAAATGGAAAAACGACTTTCCATCTGGATTGACGATGAAGTTGAACGCAATATACCATTAAGTCAAGCAATTATAGTGGAAAAGCGAGAACAATTTTTAACTTTATTCAAAATGAAAAAGGCGACACCAATAAAAATTTTGTTACTAGTCGAGGGTGGTTTCATCGATTTAAAAATAGAAACAATCTTCATAGCATACAGATTACTGGAGAAGCGGCAAGTGAAGATACAAAAGCACCTGATGTATTTCCAGTAATATTAAAAGCAATCATTGAACGAGAGAATTATCCTCCTGAATTAGTTTTCAATTTTGATGAAACGGGCCTTTTTTGGAAGAGAATGCCAAAACGTACATTTTTGTCCCGTGAAGAAAAGCGAGCACCAGGATTTAAAGCTGCAAAAGATCGTTTAATACTTCTATTGGGTGGTAACGCTAATGGAGACTTTAAATTAAAACCGCTGCTTATCTATCATTCCGAAACCCCAAGAGCAATGAAGGGAATTTCAAAATCAACTTTACCAGTAATTTGGGAGTCCAATAAAAAATCTTGGATCACTATGAACATTTTCCAGAATTGGTTTACCGAACATTTTTGCCCGTCTGTTAAACGTTACTGCGAATTTAAAAACCTAGAACCGAAAGCTTTACTTTTAATTGATAATGCTCCAAGTCATCTAACGCATTTGTCCAACTTAACAACATGCATTCCAGTAGAAATGGTTTTTCTGCCACCAAATACAACTTCGTTGATCCAACCAATGGATCAAGGCGTAGTATCAAATTTTAAAGCTTCTTATCTCCGATGGACATTTCGACAACTGATCGATAAAACCGATGGAAAAGGTAAACAATCTAGTAGAGATGTTTAGAAAAACTACAATATCATGGATGCTGTAGACAACATCAATCTCTTCTGGAATGAGGTGACCGAAAATGTTTGAAAGGAGTATGAAAGAATGTATGGCCGGAGCTAAGCAAAGATGTTGACACAAGAGAATCCATTGTTGATGTCGGCGAAATTATCAAGCTAATGAAACAGGGTTGGATAATATAAATGCACAGGATATTGAAGAATTACTGCAAGTTATAACTGGTGAAAGTCTTTCCAACGACGATCTTAAAGAATTCGTAGAACAACAAGTGCACGAAGACGACGAAGTTAGCGTTTCTGAAGATGAGGAGCAAAGGGGACTCTCATTGGATTTTCTAAAAAAAAAGTTTAGTCACTATAACGGAAATTATGGATCAATTTGTACAAAATGATTTAAATTTTGGTAGAAGTTCAAAGGCAAGACAAAGTGTCATTGATGCGGTATCTTGTTATTGACAACTGCTTGCTGAGCGAAACAGGAAAAGACAGACGACTTTGGATGACTTCGTCACAAAAAAACAAAGAATATCAAATGGAGAAGAACCTTCCTCGTTATAAACATGAGATCCTTATTCAAAATTTTTTTTATCTTCATAAATGTTTTATGTTTAAAATCTATATTAGCAATAAATAAGTCTATACTCAATGTATTAAAAAGTATTTAACAACAAATGTTACAAAATATATAAAACAAAAAAAGGAACATAAATTTTCTTATTCTCTGTTCTTTTTGACTGATCCCCATTACATATTTACATATGTACGTGTTAGGGTTTAACGCTGTTTCGTTTAGGGTTTTACTGTATATCATTAACATGTTAAATGCCACGCGAATTCTTAAGGAAATCTCAGTCAGCCCACGTGCGTTACTTTGTATGAACCCTTTGCACTCTGCTGTCTCACCGTATGAGACATCGTGATTCTAGCCTATCACTCCGATATCTCAACGTATGAGACATTAAAGTTTATTAGTGATTACGGGGAATTAAGTTATTTCAACACAACTTTTTGAGACATGCATGTTTCCCTGATGTTTTTTCTTAAAATAGCACAAGACATCGAATCAAAATATAGGAAAATAACAAAGATATATAAAAAAAATGTCAGCGGGTTTTGTGTTCTAAGAGAATGCGAGACGCGTGCTCATGACAGTCCGAGAATTTTTTGGCGAAACTTGAAAAGAGCGATAAGAAGAATTTGTAAAAGAAATGTTTTTATAGGAGCATATCTCGCATTTTATAGTGAGATTTATAATGTACAAAGAAATATTATCAAATAGTACCACATTTCAAATACATTGGAACTCGCTCGCTTTTTTTCAAATGCAACGCTATTACACATATACATTCTCTTGGTAAATAAGTTCTTTTGGTAAAAGTTCTTTAGGTAAATATGTTCCTTAATGTCTACAGATTAATATAAGTCCAATATCATTAGAATCCGTTATTTGGTTCCAAAGTTATACTAAATAATACGAGGGTCTGTAAAAGTGCCGTTTCTGCCGCGAAGTCGGGCGGAGTTGCTGCTACCCAGCGTCGAAAGTCGTTCGGAGTGCAAAGGGTTAATATAATACGTACACATCACAAAGATTAATAATAATTAAGTAAATTTAAAATAATAACTTCCATATCGCGGATAAAGTTAGTTGCCAATGAAATTTTTTGTCACGACTTCGTCATTTTTCGCAGTAAATTAAAATAACTATAACATTGTATTACCAATAAATACTATGATTGTATAGATTTTTATTGCAAAACAAATTTGCAATATCAAATAATCAGTATGTTAACAATTTTTATTGAGTATTTACATAATTAAAGAATTGCTATTATAATAATTATGACTAAAACGCCAATTTCAAAAATGCTGATACATTGTATCATAATATTTATACAAAATAGTCATTCGATATCTTACAAATACAAAGGTTTATATATAGATAATTAAATACATGATTTATAAAAATAATACTGTTACTGTTGTTTTTGATAATAAGAGATTATTTCTTCTTGCTATTAGATAAACTTACAAGTCCTACAGTCTTCGTTGCTGCAGCTTTACGTTTCGGAGCCGCTTTTCCTCTTTGTGTGGTAGAACTACATTAAGGAATATTTTCCAATATTAAATGTAATAAATATCCTACATTATTATTTTTATATTATGAAATAAGTATTTTTTATAACAATTATATAAATAGATCACCTTGAACTTGTATATCTAGCTTTCTTGGAACTAGAACGATAACTTGTTTTGCCTTTACGCTTTCTTCCTTGCGCATTTGCATATCTATCTCTTGTACTATTAGAGTAAGAAGAACCTTCACCAGTGTTCCATGAATTTGCATCCTCATCATTACCATCAGTTGAATTCTCATCAGTTTCATTCAATAAAACTAATTATTTAACACAAATTATAAAGTTTTAGTTAGTTTCGTAATCATTTATATATATAATAAAATATATATATGGGGCATTCCACGTAAAATCGACCACTTTTGACCCTGACCCCTTTCGATTTTGCTGAAAGTTTTTCATCCTATTCTACCCTATGAAAAACAGTTTTCAGAATTTTTTCAAACTTTTTTATCAAATCCAAAAAAATTATTAATTTTTGAAAAAATTACTTTTTTTTATTTAAATAGCTATAACTTCTTTAAAATTCAACCTATTGGGATGTTTTTTTTTTTAATTTTTGTTTTTAAATGCACTTTCGAGAAAAAAATACAAAAAAATTTTAAGATGATAAGCTCCCTGAAATTTTCGCATTTTTTGAGTAAAACCGTTATTTCTCGAAGTTCGCCATTTTTCATTTTTTTTTATTTTCTAAAAAAGAACTTTGACTAATTCTGCGATTATCCCCGCCAATCCCAGAGTGGGCCGAGTTATATATAGTTTTCTATTTTTTTTATTTCATTGAAAAAACATTTTTTAATTTTCAAAATTTTTAATTTTATTTTTTTAAACTTTGTTTATATAATAAAATTATGCAATTAAACAATTTTACAAGATTATATGCTCAATTTATAATCTCAATAAACAAAGCTTAAAAAAAAAATTGACGTGGAATTTTGACGTGGAATGCCCCATATATACTTATAGTTCATCGTTTAATTTGCAATTACCATATTTTTCAGCTGCATATTTTTGTGTAATATCTAATAAAGCTTTGCCATACTTGTCAAAATTTGCTTTTGTGACATGGGGAATTTGTAACATGGCTTCTTCATTATCAGGTAACTGCTGGCTCATTGCTCTGATAGCAATCATATTCATGATAGACGATGCAGATACATCTAGTGCACCCGCTATTCCTCTAATAATTCCTATTAATTCTGTATAGCAACGTTCTTGCAATTCTTGTAGAGCTTTATTAGCTTTAGTTGTAACCGTAGAAACAACTGCTACTGCATTCGAGCTACTCTTTGCAGCACGTACTGGAATAACCACCTAAAATGCATGGTAATATTTATATTTCATTTTTAAAAATTCGATCTAAATAATTTAATACCTTCGTTGATTTGTTGGTCATTAATTCTGCCGCTTTATGACCAAGTTTTAAATAAGCACAAGCGATTTCGTTATTTATATACATTTCTTCCCGTAAATATTCTTTAAGTACCATTTCATGTAAAAGACGTTCTATATCACCTCTATTCCATGATTTACCTTGGCCATATAATGGATGACTCGTTAGACCTAAGGAATAATCGATAGTACATGTTGTATTTATTAAATACGGATTCTACAAATTTTTTATTTTTGATTATTTTCACCTGATTCTCGAATTTTTTTAAGATCGCTTCCCTTAAAAATATCTGTTAAAAATACCAAAGTTAATTTGGAATTCCTTTTCTGATTAATTTCTCGTACTGCTTTCATAATTTCTCGTGCACTATCTGTTGCATCCAACATAGTAAACTCTGACTAAAAGATGCATAAATGTAAAATAATTTAAATTAGAAATTTTAATTTTATATGCGATTATAATTATAATATGTGCAGTCTCGTACCTTACACCTGCAATTATCACAAGCAGTTGATTTATTTGCAATACATAGTTCTCGATTAAATATTTCACCAAAATAGTTAAGTTGTAATGCTCTGCGACAATCGGTTTTATTTTCACAAAAGGATACCATCTTATATAAATTATCCATATGAGTTTTTATAACATCTGGACTTGAATTATCCATTTCAATCATTTTTCTAATTCTATGCATATCGGCATAATTATAAAATAATATACATTCGGCATTATCTCCGTCACGACCTGCGCGTCCACTTTCCTGATAATATCCTTCTATAGACTTTGGTAAAGCAGCATGTATTACGAAACGTACATTAGGTTTATCAATACCCATACCAAATGCTATAGTTGCACAAACAACCCTAATCTAAAACAATATTATTAGATATAAATAAATAAATTAGCTATGGCTAATTAATTATACAGGGTGATTCACCAGCTCTTGCCACCTAAATAGCTCTGAAAGTATGATAGTAGCAAAGAATTGGATAAAGAAAAAATAGCATGAAAAATTCAGGATTACAATTTGACATTAGTATTTTCTTACTAGGTGGAGTCCTTTTCAAGATTTATTGGTCAAATTTGTTATTTTAAATACAATATTATATTTTAATACTTATTTTTGGATAGCAGCTGACAAGACGAATCCAATGATGTGCAACATTAAATATAAAACCTGACAATGACCAATAAAAACTATTTGGAAAATATCTGTTCCGTCCGTTGTCTGAACAACTAAAAGATGACGCAACCCTGACGCGACCATGACACAACCCTGATGCGACCATGACGCGAAGAGTTGTATTGTGGCCGGCTTGTTCGGCAGTTTTGACTTCCGTTGACTTTCAAAAATATTAATGTTGCACATTATTGGATTTGTCTTAGCAACCGCTATCCGAAAATAAGTATTAAAATATAATATTGTATTTAAAAAAACAAAGTTGACCATAAATCTCGAAAATGACACCATCTAGTAAAAAAATACTAATGTCAAATTGTAATCCTGAATTTTTCATGCAGCTTTTTCCTGATCCACTTTTCTGCTACTTAGGCTATTAGGTAACAAGAGCTAGTGAATCACTCTATATATATGCTGTATTACTTCTTCTGAAATCCAACGTCCTTGAACATCACTTCTTTGATTATCTGTCAATCCAGCATGATAACTTTGAGCTTTAATATTATTTTTCCTCATTTGTAAGGCGTAATCGTCACAATCTTTACGTGATAAGCAATAAACAATACCGCATTGATTTTTACATTTGGTTTTTATCATAGCAATAACTTCATCAGAACAATTTTTGCCTTTCTTTGCAATTATACTATAACGCAAATTCGGTCTATTGAAGCTTGACATAAACCTGAAAATATAATAATTTATATCTTACAATTAGTATGTATACATCATTATGATAATCAATAATAATATAAATAATCTACATATATCATTGATCATACCATTTTGGTTTTGTCATACCCAATTGATACAGTATGTCAGTTCTAACTCTTGGAGTTGCAGTAGCTGTTAAAGCAATCGTTGATACTGTGGGATAATTATCTCTCAGACATTTTAATCTTTTATAATCTGGTCGAAAATCATGACCCCACTGACTTACACAATGTGCTTCATCAATAACAAATCGTGCCAATAAATTTCTTTGATAAAGAGTTGTTAAAATACTGTTCAATTTTTGAGAAGCAGATATTTTCTCAGGTGTTACATATAATAATTTTAATCCTGGATCTTTCTTAGACAGTTCTCTGTATATTCCGGATGCTTGACTTTCAGTTATATTGCCAGACATATGTGCCGCAGGAATCTAATTATTAAATAATACATTATTACTGACACATTTAACCTATTTAGATAAAATTTATTACAACGAATAAAATTTTAGTAAAATAATATATCTAACATCAAGCGAAGTCAGTTTCTGAACTTGATCAAGAATAAGACTTTTTAATGGAGAAATAACTATTGTAATTCCCGGTAGAAGAAGAGCTGGCATTTGATAACAAAGTGATTTCCCACCGCCTGTAGGCATCAAAACAAAACAATCAAATCCAAGAACTGCTGCATTAATTGCTTGCAATTGATTTGGTCTAAAAGAATATAAACCAAATTTTTGCCTAAAAATCTGAAACGATAATTGTCTGTATCAACCAATGATATATTTATCTCTTTAATTAAAAATATTTCTAAAATAATAAAAATATAATTTATAAGTTAATCTAAAATACGATTACATACTTTTAACATTTCACGAGAATGAGGGTAATTCAAACCATCAAATTCTCCACTAATACCATCATTTTTATAATTTCCAGTAAAAATTCCATCAGAAACAGATGTATTTAAAGTTATATTCACTTTATTATTCGTAGTAATATCCTTTTCTTCTTGACCAATTATTCCTGAATCTGTTGTAATATAAATTGTTCACATTTATATAAACTATAAATGTTTCAAACAATATTAAAATAAATTACAATATTTACCATTTATATGTAAACTTAATTCTAAATTAGAACTATCATTTTTAGAGATCTTATGTTCTTGTTTAAATGTTTCAATGGTATTCCTTTTTTCATGTATTATTAAATCATCATCTGCAACGATGTCCACACACACAAATTAATAATAACTATTGTTAATTAAACAATGCAATATCTTACCAAAATTTTTGCTATTATTGATCCAATCATCCTTCTGATTAAACATAGGTTGTATATTCCTTTCAAATTCTTTTTGTTTAGAATTATCATAATCAAAATGTTTATTTTGACATGCAAGTTCATTTTGTTCTGACTTAAAGCTATTATTACTTGCATCGTATTTCGTATCTGATGTCATTTGTAACAGTCTTGTTTGTTGTTGCTCTTTTTCCCATAATTCGCCTATCTTTTTAGTAACTTCTGTACACACTGTAGCTCTGACAGGTCTTTTTAATTGAAAAGTACTTTTTTTTATCGGAGCTGTACTTGTACTTACACTTGCACTTACGCTTGCATTTGCACTTGTACTTACTATAGGTGAGTTAGCGTTGACAGTGGTTGCCATACTCAGTTTTTCATTATCACCTTTTTGCCATGAATTTATAGGTTTCGTAATGTTTGATAATGATGCATCTGAAGTTTCATTAGGACTTACTAATTCTTTGCTAGAAGAGTTAAAACTGAGATTAAAACTATCCTTTGAATTTTTTGAATTTATTGGACTACTTCTGTATATATTATATTTTTTAAAAACAGGACTATGACTTTCTAATTCTTGTAAGGGTTCATTTTCAATTGTGGATTTTAATTCTTTCTCTATCTTCTGCTTATTCTCTAGTCTTTTTTTCACCAAACGTAATTTAGCTTTAACATGCTGATTTAAAGCTTTTAGTTTTTGAAATGCGTCTACATTAAATTTAGGAAATTTTTCTAATATAGGCATTGGAATTTGATCCATAGCTAGAAAAAATTTTTCTAGAATAATTATTTGAAGGTCCTGTAAAGTTTGATGTTTATCTTCTAAATCATCTTCGGTTCTCTAAAATTGAAATGAATATTATTTATTGATTCACAATGTTTACATGACATTAACAAAATAATTATAATATTATATATCTTTGATAATTACTTACAAGCGAAGCTGACATAACTGGTTGTTCTTTTACTGATTGAATCCAAGAAATTAATTGTTTATCCATACCTAAAGGCTTCAGATTTAATTTATAGTCAGGACCTATCCATTTCTTTTTTGGAGATTTTTCAACAGTATCTTTGGAATCAGAATTCTCATTGTCGGAATCAGATATGATGATATTTTTGTTATTATGGCCTTTAATGTCTTTGTTTACAATGTTTATCATTATTAAATTCCTACTAGTATTAAGGTTAGTTTCGCCAGGACTAATATAATTACCAAATGAATTTTGTTTAGTCATTTCAGGTGATATTACAGAAGACTTGTTATGAACAGCAAATGGTGAAGCAGTGAAATCACTGGGATTCAAAATCACTTTGGACATTTTTGGGCTATTTCCTTTATCTTCTATTTTCTTGAGCCCATTATTTAATCGTAAACATGTTTTAAATTTTATAGATTCGTCCTCACTATCTGAAAATCGATCAAAGAAAATGTTTTTTCTACATGTAGTTTTTTCATCAGGAGACACTGCGTTTTGAATATTTTTCAATTTTTCTTTTGCTTCAACAGAATCTTCCACATAACATACATTTGAAGAACTACTTTCTTGGGATTTTGCTTCACATGTATTTTGATCTTGTAAATCATTTGAACTATCCTATACGTCAAAACAAAATTATATCAAAATTGTATTATATAACATTAAAAATAAAATCACAATAACAAATGAATTCTTACAATGCTTATAATACTATCTGTCACTTTAAATTCCTTTTTCATATTCTCAGTAATAAAATCACTGCTATCATCATCCAAATCAATAAAACTTTCATGCTTTTCGTCCAAACTTTTTGAAACTTTTTTTTCAGTTGGTGTACTAGAAACAAAATTTTATCAAGATTATTTACATATAAGATATATTCTTTTTTAAATATTTTAAGATAAAATATTTTAAAAGAAAACGAATATGAATACCTAGAGGTTATATTATCTTTGTTCTCCAATCGCTTAAAAAATGTTGTCAATTTTGGAACTCCTGAAGTTTCTTTTAATGCGAGCTTTCTTAACATTTTGATAATTTATTGTTCTACATACAAATACAATTCACTAACAAAATATTGTTTAGAAAACAGTGTACAAAAAATTATTTTTCCAAATAATTTGTTTCATGACTCCATTATTAGAAAACTATAATATTAGATAAAAATTACTTAAGAATTAATCATCTTTAAATCTGTAATTATACATAAAACGTACCTTTTATAAACCGTTCATATATGTAATTAACTAAATTTTTAGTTTAGGCGGGAACAAGATAATGAAAAACCATGTGTATGTCACTGTAACGTTAATAGTCAAACCATTTATAAAAGTTTAGATTCGGTAATTATATTCCTTATACAATTCACAGCATAGAAATTCTTCAAATATAAAAATATGCAATCAATTTCATTTCACTGAAAAGAAAGACTTACCTAACATAAGTAACTTAATAAATTAACAAGTTGCTTCTGTACTTTATTCAAAACTTGAAACATTGACTATGAAGTTAGAAGGGAATTGCAGTTAATATCGATATATAAAAGTTTCGATTTTAGATTTCGATTTCGAGATCTGTTAATTTTGTCATACCTTAGTTCAGGTTATCTCTTTATTCTGATCATTGATTTACAACTTTGTTTGTCCATGGTATTTACTATGCCATCATATATAACTATAATATACTACTTTATCAAATGACATGTTATATTTTATCTAAATTTTAATTAACCTTGAAAGATTATATAAAATGATGAATTGTTATACATAAAAAATAAATAACTTTATTCACACAACGAAATTAATCTAAGGATACGTTATTCGATTTTCTTGCGAAATAATATCTTTTCTCAGTCGAATCTATTCAAATGTAATAAATGTAACGTATGTCACGACTTCTCCAATAATACATGTTATAAATGTAAGAATAAGAACAAATTGAAAGGTTTAAGTAGAAGATGTTACTGTGAAGGTTTAATAAGTTAGAATTGACGTTTAAACAGTTTTATTTTTCTACATAATATTTATGTAGTCGGTGATAGAAGTCAAGGCCCTAAAGACTTTTAAAAAACATATAATATTTAAAATAATATTTGATCTCAGGGCATTATCATTCCACTGTTTACCATTAACGTATATACATATTTATTAATTGTTACTTTTATCTTCATTAAAAACAATTGAATATATTGATAATGCATAATTGAAATGAAATAAAATGAGTTATATATAATTTAAAATAAGGAATTATTAATAATATTTCAATATTTGATATCTATTATTTAGAACACTAATGTTTTTTTTTAATCGAATGATTAACAAATGAGATTGTCAATGAATTCAAGGCTCTTATATTGGTATGGCCCTCCCTTACTGAATATGTTGTCAGTTATCATTATCAGTAAGTATATTATATGTGTAGAGAATATACTTGTAGTCTTATACAGCATTTACTATAGAAAGAAACCTCTATATGCTTCATTTATATTAAGTTATTTAAATTTATTTATATATAATTAGAAATATAATAAACATTTATATTGTAATTATTACATTTTTTATATTTTATATAAGACAATATTATTCTTTTATCTGATCATTTTACGTAACTGGACTTTGAACTCTTAGAAACTTATGTCGATCATGGAAGAAAATTGCAAAGAGCCGCATCTTAATGTTACCGTTAATGAAAATGAAATCGAAAAGGGAGCCATAGAAATTATAAAGCAAATAAGACCGTTTTGGCCTTTGGATCAATTACAGTACAAGGTAATATTAGGAAAGTTGAAAGATAATATATGTTATCATTTCGTTAACTTAAATTATAGATTTTATATCTTTACAATTAAATTAATTATATTATTAATTAGCTTATTGATGTTAGTATGTTTATTAATAATTATTATGCCGTAGAAATTAATGTATAATTTTAATAAATTTGATTTGATATTTTTCAGTTATTTACTAATGGAATAACAAATAAACTTGTTGGAGTGTGGTATCCAGGACATTATAATGATATGGTATTAATTAGGATTTATGGACATAAGACAGATTTACTTATTAATCGTAAAGATGAAACAAGAAATATTCGGGTAAATAAAAAATATAAAATTATAATTTATGAAATATCTTCTATCAATTGTATATTTCAGATATTACATAAAGCTGGTTATACACATTCAATTTATGCAACATTTAATAATGGTCTTGCCTATCAATTTCTTGAAGGTGATATACTTACCACTGAAACTGTTAGACAGCCAGAAATTTATAGTTTAGTAGCTAAACGAATGGCAGAGATGCACATACTTCAACCTGATCATTGTGATATATCCAAAGAACCAATTATTTGGAATAAAACTGAACAATTTATGGAGCTTATGCCCAAAGAATTTTCTGATCTTCCCAAACAATTAAAGTAATTGAATATTATAGTGTCACGTATATTATACAATTATATATTTTTCCAATATACATAGAATAATGGCTAAATAATTAAAATAATTATTTAGATTTATTAAATTAATAAAACCGTATGCTGTGTTGGAAAAAGAATATCAATTTTTGAAAAAACAATTATCAAATTTAAACAATTCTGTAGTATATGCACACAACGATCTTTTATTGGCAAATGTAATTTATAATGAAAAACAAAATAGTGTAACTTTTATTGATTACGAATATACTGCATATAACTACCAAGCATTTGACATAGCCAATCATTTTGCAGAGTTTGCAGGTAATTCAAGCATATTTTATATGGTACTCTTTTTTTACGTTCATCTCAAAATATCAATATATTTCATTTAAATATATTTTTAGGTGTCGATTTTCCTGATTATTCCTTATATCCTGAGGAATGTTTACAGAAAGCATGGCTAAAAATATATTTAAAAACATATTATAACACTAATGATGTACCCGAAGGTGAAATTAATCAATTATATAGTCAAGTTAATAAATTTGTTCTTTTAACACATTTCTTTTGGGGGTGTTGGGCTCTCATACAAAGTCAACATTCAAATATTGATTTTGATTTTTTACAGTAAGTGTCCTTTTAGTAAATATCTTCTATTTTTATTGTTTATTCGTTTATTACAAATGAAAATTTTCTTAAAATTACGTCACGTCAAGATAAGGCAAGATTTGTTATTAAAAGTACAAACAAATTTATTTTTGCTCAAAAAATCTTTATATTTGATCATATCTTATTTTCAGATATGCAGCAATAAGATTTGATGAATATTTTAGAATAAAGACATTAATTTTTAATTTCTGATGAGAAAAAAACCATTTGAATCAATGTCATTTATATAAACATTCCATATGATTTGTATATTTTATGCGAGTGCAATAATTTACTATTTTGTATATAAGTATAATATTATAATGAGCATTAAATTGTTTGAACTAGGATGTTATAAATGTTATCTTGCACGTGTTATGTTACAGTACAGTGTATATAAAATATATAATATATAAAAATATCACACACACACACACAATAATATATTATAAAGTGTATCTTGTTGTATAAATAAAAGTTGTTTTAAAATATATGCGCGCGTACTTTCCTTTTATAAATACAAATCTTATACGTGATGCAATTCGTAATTTGTGAATATGTATAACTATTTAACAGATTTTGATAAATGTATTTAAATGAAGCGCGTTAGCGAAATTTAAATGATGTTTCAAATCGCGGGCTATGACGCTAATCATTTTGTGAATAAATTTTCATAATTTTACGTGAAAGACATGTGGCACATTTGATATCAAT